AAAAGATGCGTGTAGATTAATTCTTATCTCATATACGAATATAATTAACATTATTAATAAAATTTTTGTTACATAACAGGACAGTACCGCGTTTATTATGATTCAGAAAATTGGCTCAATATTGCAAATTACCTAAATTCAGGAAAATATGAAGATGTGAATGTCATTGATCGTGCTAAGTTTATTGATGATGCGTTTCATATGATAATCGATCATCAGCTTAATGGATCTGTATTCTGGAATCTTACAAAGCACTTATCACAAGAGACAGATTATGTGGCATGGTTTCCTATGATCAAAGCGTTAGAATACATATCAACTGTGTTTAAATTATCAACAGTTAAAGAAACTAATTTTGCTCATGTTAAGGTAATGGGTAATATTTATTACCATAGAACATTGGTTCTAGCGTTATGGTAAAGAAATTTTTACTTAATAAGTAACATTAGAATTACCTCTTTAAACATTAGAATAATTTCACATACAAATATAAATCATTCTTTTCATATCATCATATTATATTTAAAAAGATCATATATTTGAATGGCAAGATGTATAAATATACTTTAAAGCCAAAAAATTGATAATAAAAAATATTTTTTTGTTTCTGATTTTTACATGGTATTATTATAAATACTAAATTTTCCGTATATTAATATTTGCACTTAAAAAATATTTACTGAAATATTTTCAACTCAAACATACTGTGATTCAGTTCAAAAGTTAACATTATTTTAGAATACATTAAAAACATTGTTGGTTCATCCAATGGAGATATTAGGATTTGAAGAACATCCAAATGAAGATAACTTCATTAAATGTTTAAGACATGAAATTCTAAAATGGGCATGTATACTTGGTGATAATCAATGTTTAACAATAGCCAAACAAAAATTACAATTGTATCTCTTACATTCTACAAGAAACAAGTAAGTTTCTCTATTCATGAGAATATTAATATATTTATATTAATGAAGCATATTTAATTGTTGCTTTTTGTGCCATAATCGATGGATTTTCTCATTAAAATATAAAACAATATGCTCCACTTAATGCATACACTACATACATGGGTAAATACATACGAGGGCAAATCAATAAGTATCCGTATTTGAAGACAAATGATGTTGCTGATACAAGTTGGCATTATCATCGTGTACTACTATCTTTAAAACGACGCCATACAAAATTTCAGAGTAATTAATGCGATAGTTTTGATTTGACAGCAATTCGAGTGTATTTAGTACTTTTGAAACAATGGAATGCAATATCGATCCGTGATTTGATTTTTATCGAGGTTTTTATTTTTGAATCGAAAAACGTGCGAAAAAATAAAAACAAAGTTGAATACCGTCTGTGGGAACCTTTTACTATCTATGTATGACAATCGTCAGAAACTGATTCAACGAATTCAAACGTAGTCGTTCTTCTGTTTTTGAAGAAAAGACGGCCCCATTTGGCGAAAAAAAAAAGTATTTTACCATACAATGCACCGGCTCATTCCTTCACAGTCGTTATAGTCAAATTGGTCGAATTGCGCCATGAATTGCTGTAGCATCCATATTATACTCTTCGGATTTGGTCCCATGTCACTTCTTCTTGTTTTCAAATTTGAAAAAAATGTCTCGGTGGAAAAAGATACACGTTGAATGAGAAGGTCGTCGCCGAAACAGCTACCTATTTCGCAAAGTTCTACAAATCGTATTTTTTGGAATGATTAAAAAAATGACAGGAGCGTTATGAAAAGTGTATCGTTCTAAAATAGAATTACGTTGAAAAATAAAAAAAATTTTTTGTAAAAAATACATTAGAATAATTTAAAGATTTTAACATATATTTATTGGCTCATTGCCCTGTTTCTCTATATTAATTTTTGTAAAAAGTTTGCGTCTTTATTACTAACACGGGTACTTACTGATTTGTTCTCATATTAATTCTTATTGTTTTTTTTTATTTCTGTTTCTTAAAACTTATAGAATACTACCAGGATGGAAGCACTGGATACATTGTACAGGTTTAATGCTTTGTGGTAGTAATGAGTGGAATTTTATAAAAAAGTTATTCTTATTCGATTTGGATCTTAACATTTTACCATATTTAGCTTGTACTCTGAATAGTTCTCTTATTTTCGACGATTTTCTGTTTCATTTATGGGATATGACCACATATGAATTAGACGATCCTGAAGTTATCCGTTCTAAGATAATCACTTTTCATTTAGTCGTTTCGAAACACATAAACGACATGATAGATGTTAAAATATTTTTTGCGCATTTTCATTTAATAAAACCTCGGTAATAATATTTCTCTTAAAAAATAAACTGCTTTTAGTAACAGATACGTTTGTATAGATAATTATAAATGTTCGTATTATTTTTACAGTGAGATCATTGCAATAGTAGCATTTAATGATATTATTAATCACTTGTACACTGCAAAACAACTTGATATGGTAAGTAAAATAAATTTAATATCTACTGATAAGCTTTTTATAGAGTTATTATAGTAACTGTATATAATATCTATATTATGTATTAACTTAATGTGGATATATGTACGCATTTGTAAATACACTGTACATATGAACACACACTACTTACGTAATAAGCGAAAAATTGTTTCCTATTAATACGCTAAATTTTGTTTTTATTGTAAAATAATTAATTATAGTTATTTTATTTAATTAATTTTACTAAACAATAAATTAATTATTAATTTTTGAAATAATATTTGTTTCAGGTACTCTTTGTAGCGAAAACAATAACACGCGTACCTGATAAATATGTTGCTATGATTGAACACAAGATACAAACACGTTTGTCTCAAATTAAAGAACAGATAAATGTTTATGAGTTTTTAACTTTTTAAATACAAATCTAAATTTAAGAATTATACATAAATAAATTTTAGCATAAGGTGGCTCAAATTATTTGAAAACGATAATAATAATGCGTACAAGTACTGCTACTATAAATTTGTTCATTTTAATGTCAATTTTGCTTATTTCTTTCTAAATATTACTATTATTTTTTTATTATTTAGTTATTCATTTATTTAGTAAAGCGTATTTTTTAATTAATAATAATTTTTAACACTTTTTATACAATTCTTGTATTCTACACTATTCTTAAAAGCGAAAAAATATACAATAAATATTGTTGCAAAATATATTTAATTTAAATATTTATCAATATAACAACATTTTAATTTTCAATCGAAAAAGTAGAGTTATAAAATGAAAACTGTTTTTTTTTTGTTTCCGAAAGGAATAAAATTATGTCGATACCCATTATGATCTATTGCTTTCTTTTCTAAGTATAACACAAGAAAGTACTTTCGCAACATGGAAATACTTTTATGTTTAAAATCTTTCAAAATATATCCATTTTTAAGTTATCCAAAATTAATTTTTTATTTTGTTTCTATTTAATTCTTAATATCTCAACAATATTTTATTCTATCTTGGCCAAGAATAAAAATTTAAGATTGGACGAAAACTAATAGTTTTGACGTAATTTGAAAGTTGTCCGACTATTTAAATTATTTAGGAACTGTTTTGTTTGGTTTCAATATTTTCCATCGTTTCTATTATTTTTATGTAGCAATTTAATAAACAATACTATTATATTATGTAAATTATCGGAGTTGCGTGAAGTTATCTATGCTTGACTCCTAGTCCCCTTTTCTTTCCAAGTTAATTTCACTATTATGTAACTTATACATATATCATAACAATACTTATCATATAATAATAAAAACGAAGAAAATTTAAATTGGCTAAAAAGGAGTCAGCACGGTAAGAATTGCACAAATTTGTAGAAAAAAATTATTTAATAAAACATAAGATATGTTACATCGACGTTTGGACGTTTTGACTATTCATTTTAGCCATCCTCAACAAAACATTAACACGGAATCTCCAAGTATCCGTCAGGAAACACAATTAGCGGCCAGAGACGTTTCCATGCTTGTTGATACCGAAATTATGTTATCAAGCGAATCGAAAGAACACACAAAAGAAAGATACATAATCACTTAATCTCCAATAATAAAATATATAGTAATAATCTCGTCAAATTTCAAAAATTTAATAGAGAAAACATGGCAGAGTCTAGACGATTTTCTAGCTCTAAAATTCTGATTGGATGATCTGAAATAATACAATAACAGCGAGCGCTCATTCAACTATTGAATATTCAGCTCACTCCGCTGAATGCGCCTAATATAATAGATATTTTAGCAATAGATATTTAGCAAACTAGATTTATTAATTTTTTAACGTAATTATTGATTTGTTAAAAATTTTCATAATATTTTCCACAATATTAACGATAAGTATTTCTTATTATTTTTACGTTTATATTGATAATTGCATTAGAAAACATCGTATCGGTAAAAATAATAAAGTATTAAACAAATATAAAACATTAAAAGAAAGTTAAAACAAATTGTGCATAATAATTTATTAAGAATATAATATTTTTTACAATAGAAAATTAATAATATTAAAATTCGAAATAATAATCTAAGAACAATATTAATATTAATAATAAATAGTTATAAGTAATACAAAAATAATCGCAAGCATAATAACATAAACAAAATAGAAATACAATAAAGAATTACATTTTCAAAAAATAGTTTATATTTAATTTAAAACATGAAATATTTAAAATTCAAATATATATAAATATATATGAGCGCTTTATAGTAATACCTTTTTGTAATTTAATCATAGTAATTGTATCTTCTTCTTTATATGCTTTATCCGTTCGCCCGGACGTTGGCGATCACTTTGGCCCTGATTTCCTCGCTATATCTTGGGTAATATCTTGGGAATTAAATGAACCGAAGTGGTTTTCCCTTGCCTTTTTCGGTATACTTTCATATTAGTATACTTTCAGTAATTGTATATCATAGCTAAATATTTCAAACATTTATCCATTGAAATTTAAGTGTGCATGTACTTTTTGTTTTGTATCAGAATTAATTAAAATTCATTAATTTAGAAACATGCGAAAATGTTCAATATGTCTTTCAAGTTCAGATATACGTGTTTTTATCTTATGTTGAACTTCTGATTCTATTTTTTGTAAGGATTGTTGCTCCTTCAACATATTGCCTATCTGAAATGAATAATGTCGATATTATTGTCGAATGTTCACTGTCATTAAATATTAAAGTTTTTTTTTATATAAACATGTTATTAAAGATGATATTCTGTAATAATATCATGTAACAATTTCAATGTAATAAATGTATATTATTTTATAATGTTTCTATTTACAGACGATTTACTATAAATATATCTGACAGTATTCAGATAAATAAGAGTACTATTTTTAATAGATGCTCTTGTCGGAGAATATTTGACAAAGACTTACTTTATAAACTACTTTAGGAGAATATATGTTGTTAATGATCATAGTTAATGCAGTATATTCAGCAATTTCACTAAAATCAATACATATTTAGAATTAATATATATAATTTATAATTATTAATTTATTACAAATATAGAGCATATTTATAAAAAAAATCTTATTACATTGGTCTCAGATTTCTCCTTAATATCAAACTGTCAATGATTTTTTCATTCTTAGCATATTTTATTATAATATCAAAATAAATTTTTATCCATTTCCTAATGTCCTTTTCTGATCTTTTCTTTGATGTTTTTTGTTGGTATATACCCGAGAGCGACATATTTATAAGTTTAGTATCTTGAAAACAGAAATAATGTGTAGAAAATTCCAAATCAATCATGTTATTCCATTCCTTACTTATATTTGGATATAACGGATTAATCTTTCCATCTTGACTTGTATTTATAGAACCTCTGCAGAATATCCAATTCCTCCATCCTGTTGGAAATCTATATTTTTCAGAAGAATAATAACAGTAACAATTTGATAATACATTTAAAGCTTTGATGAGTATTTTTTTCAGATATGTCAAAGTGTTTGCGGATTATTACTATATCGTGGGTCATTGCTAACGGCATTAGCATGGGGACACGGCGATATAACAGTAACAACTTAAGTAATTTAAAACTTTTAGTTTAAAAAAATTTACTTGACTGATGTTGAATTACGAAGATGTTGTTTTAACTTATCATAGGCTATATTTAAGCACATGGAGTTTTCAGCAGCACATGCCCATCTTAAAACATCTTGTCTTAAACATTTGGTGAGATTATTTTCCATCGGATCTTCTTCAAATCTTAGTATTTTCAGAGGTTTATCCAATAATTCTGCTATATTTTTCTGCAATGATATAACTTGTTTTGCTTTATATTATTACGAAAGATATAATCTTTATATATGCATATTTCTTTTATTCTATTACTAAATCCTCTATAAGATTATTTTTTATATATGTATAAAAAGTATTAAAAACTGAAGTTATTAGACAACCGGAAAAATATTTTGGTATTTTATATTTTATTTTACATTTCTTATATTAATACAAAAGAATAAAATGACTCGTTATATAAAAATAAATAAATGATGTCAAGGGCGATATGAGTCAAAAAAGATATTCGTTTAAATTAAGTGACTAATTAATAGTACATTGTGTAACAAGTGTGTATTAGTTGAAGCGAGTGCACATGCGCGCCCGTGTCGCGCTATAGACAGTTATAGCACATGAGTTGCACATAGATTTTTTCATCACGAGTGCACTGTGTTAGTAATATGTTATACAATTATAAAGTCGCACGAACGAAGTGGGGGGGGGCGCAAGTCCCTCGGAAAAGAAATTAAAATATTTCGTAAATAAATATTTCACAATACAAAATTTTGTATTGCTCATTACTTTCAATTATAATTGTGAGATTATTACAATTTGAAATTATATATAAATTTATATATATAAACGCGTTATTGTAAGTTGAATGATATTTATAGATACTGTATTGTCGTTTTGTCGTAGTTACTTTTATTATTATGGAGAAAACCATGCTTACCGCGCCCCCCCAGATGCCCCGAAAGGACGCTCTGGTCAGCGCGTTTCTCCGTGTTGATATTTGTACAAGCGCTACCACTGCGTTGCGTTATTTTTTATAATGTAACGCTTTTGCGTAGGATTAGAGAAATAATTCAACGGCTTGAGATATTGGCTATTTACCGCAGGTAAAAGCGTTGCGGTATAGGGCACATTACGTGCACGCGTGAGGAAAATGTTTTATTGTTTAAACGATTACCTTTTTTTACTCATATCGCCCTTGACATCATTTATTTATTTCTTATATTATCTTAACATGAGAGAGAGAGAGAGAGAGAGAGAGAGAGAGAGAGAGAAATTATAAAGTATAATAGTTTATAAAATCTCTTTATTGTCATATGTATATACTATTATATCATCTTACAATAGACATATATATAAACAATATTTTACGACAATATTTTACTATTCAACAACAAATGCTCTTTACTAAATAATATGGTAATAACCAGGGTTGGGTAGTGCTAAATTAAAAAGTTAAAAAGTTAATTTTAACTTAACTTAGTTACATTTTAGACTTCTAACTTTTTAACTTTATTTAGTTACATTTTATCGGTAACTAATAACTTTTTATTAATTTTTTTAAAGTTAAGTGTCAGACACAATATGAGCCACACGTAACCAAAAATACGAATCCGGCCGGCTTGCAGCACGCGATCAGTGCCTTCGATGGCACTGATCGCGTGCTGTAAGTAGATATTCGCATCATTGGTTATGTGTTACGCCACTTTGTTCCGCGTTAATGGATAGCGCAGTTGACGTCCTGCAAGTAGAGACTCTTTATTGTCCGCAAGCGGACTCGAGTTTGCATCATTGGTTCTAACTTGCAGGATTTGCAGCTTGCAGTAGCTCGTAGTCACTTATAGTTTGCTGCTGCATTTATTCGGTTCTAATAATAAGAGTTTGAAGTTTTGTGCAAAAACACAATGAGTATTGACATTGATAATATATTATACTAATAATAACTATCGCCCATTACCTTAACATGAGTGAAATTAGTTTCTTCATCTTTTGATAATGGAAACACAGTTGATATGTATTCTAACGCTTTGATCATAGGAAACCACGCCACATAATCTGTCTCTTGTGATAAGTGCTTTGTAAGATTCCAAAATACGGATCCATTAAGCTGATGATCGATTACCATATGAAACGCATCATCAATAAACTTAGCACGATCAATAACATTCACATCTTCATATTTTCCTGAATTTAGGTAATTTGCGATATTGAGCCAGTTTTCTGAATCATAATAAACGCGGTACTGTCCTGTTATGTAACAAAAATTTTATTAATAATGTTAATTATTTTCGTATATAAGATAAGAACTAATCCACTCGCATCTTTTTATTTTTCTTAATTTCTTAAAATTGAAACGTCCCCTGTATGCATATGAGATATCTTTTATGTAGATAACTATTTATATAAATAAGAAATATAAATGAAAATGTAGCAAGAAATATTCAATTCCGAAAAAAAATAATACAAAACGTACATATAATAAATATGTATAATTAATATACATATATTCACCAGTTTGTTGACTGTTGAGTATTATCAATTTATTTACAGGAACTTTGAAGAAATGTGTGTGCATTTGCTGTGTTAGATACAGTTTGGTTTTTTCAGGGAAAGAAGTTTTTACCTCTATATTTATAGGTAATGGCCATTTAGTATTTTTTGATAGATTGCAATATTGTGTTAATTTTACTATATTACGATTTTTATGTTTGCAGCTTATGATGGGATAATGTTTGTTAAATAGCCAAAATTTAAAATCACACGGATATGATTCTTTAGCTAGATTTTCTTGTATAGACCAAAAGTCTGAGATATTCACAAAATTGGACGAGCTGAATTGGAAAATATATTATTATGGACAAATAAATGGGTATCAATTATATATAAATGTAAACATATAAAATAACTTGTACATGTATATAAACTCTGATAACACAATCTTATTAATAATTTTATACGTTATTTAATGGTTTAAGTTATGTTAAGAATAATAATTTATATTGTAATATATGCAGTCAAAATTTACAACAAAATGTGTATAATTTAATGGAGTTAATCAATTTAAAATGTCGTTTATAAACGAATGATTGAAAAACAAAAATAGTAAATTTTACGATATGTTTCTAATGTTATATCTGTCTCATCACCATTAGGAGAAAATATCTATTTGATTTAAAAAACACAATATAGGTACAATTTAATCATTGATACGACTTAGCTAACTGTACCGTACATGTATATGTACACTTATGTATTTGTTACATGGTAATTACAATATAATACATTTATAGCATTTAACAATATATTATAATATGTATATATATATATATATATATATATATATATATATATACATTAATATATATCACATAATAATTTTATATGATAGTAATTATATTTTATAATTAATAAGAAAGTGGTTTTTAATAAAAAGAGTATAAAACCACAGCACAGGTTGTTTTTTGTGATATTTAATACATAACAAAGATTTTGATTTAACTTAGACGTTTCGGTCAATATCTGGCCATCTTCAGTAAATGTATAAATAATCTCGCATTGGTTACATAAATTTAAAAATTAAATATCGCAGTCATACATTTAATTCAAAATCACGCTCTTTTTAATCTTGTACATCGTAATATGTAGTTGAAGAAACGATTGAAATGTTTCACAAAAAACAACCTGTGCTGTGGTTTTATGTTCTTTTATAGTTAAAAGTTATATTTTAATGTACTATATATACACAATTATCACTTACTGCTGGTTTAAGTATATATGGATACCTCTTCGAAATACTGAGTCGGTGACAATATTTTGAAGCATCCGCAGAACAGCGATGACTACAATGACAGATATATGTATATATATGCTAATTATGATATTGAATTTACTTAACTAAACGCTTCTTTTAATACATATTCCTACTTTAATATTATTTATTTTTTTCGTAACCGCAGAAAGTAGTTAATTTTTTATTAATTCTTACCTTTAATGTATCGGGGAAAATTTAAAAGTGATTCAAAATCTGGTACCGTATTAATTATTGGAAAATTTAGATCATAATAGGAATCCAAATTTAAAGAATCGTACTGATTTTGAATTATGAATAAATTCATTAACTCAGAATCATTGTATATCTAAAAAAGTTTTATAGAAATATTATATAAATACTCAATAGAATATTTTTATTGCGATTTACTGTTGTTATGCTCATTAATGTAATTTTATTAATTTCAAGATGAGAATTTAAATTTTTATAAATAATACAATATGTTGCAAAAAATAAGATGCATTATAATTAAAGGAGATTTGATATTTGTTAAAATAAATTGCAGAGAGAGTTTTTTAATTTTGATATGTTCTTTCACGTTAATTATATGTAAAATTCCTGATTGAATTTTATTTTGAAATATACCAGAAGCTTTCTAAAGATATAGAATGTTATTGACATTCTGATTTTACGAATTGAAAACAATTTTACAAAACTTTTAGATAAATCGTTTTTTATGTAATATTAACAAATGAAAAAACCTTAGCGATAGCGTCTTCTGCAAAAAATATAGCAAGTCCATCATGTAACCAAACATTATTCAACCAAGTTGAGCTAACTGGATATCCAAACCATTGTTGTGCTACCTTATATGCTATCCTGCGTTCGAATTCTATTTTACGCATAAATCGATCTGATGCATGGTCATATATAATATCTGTATCACTAAAAATTGTTAATTTTACGTGTAAAATTTTTATTGAAATGATTTAATTTATACTAAAATGACATAATTTATTTTGTACAGATTGATTTTTCGGTAACGTGTATAAAATAAATAAGGCACTAAATTATACAATTTTGAAATATGTGATTGAATAACAAACTGTTGTACGCAAAATGGTAAAGAATTATGTATTTATTGAAATTAGTTATGGTTTTAATCTAGTATCTATTTTATGATATATTAAATATACGATATATAAAATATGTAATCAATTTTCTGATCAAATATGACATATTTTTAAAAATACATTACATTATTATTACTGCGTACAAGTGATTTAGTTCCTATGAATTTAATCTTAATGTATTAGATAAATCGGAATTAAATACAGACTCGTAAGATTTATTTTAACTACAAATAACTTTTTAATAAACGATATGTGACAAATAAAGTTTTTAATTGTTATGTAGGATCGCGACATTGACAATTTACATCGAGATCATTGCATTCCAATATAATGTTATATAGTAGTATATATAATTATTAATTACATAAATGATCATTCGGTATATATTTATAACTTGTCATCACTTTTGTCTTATGAATTGGAAACAACTTATTCGACATATAAATAAATCTTTGCAATTCTTGCAATATTAACAAATACATATATTGAGAATTATTTGTATTTAAATTTATGTTTTATATGAATATATTTTTATATTGAATATATGTAATATTATAAATCTCTTTAAACATTTAAATTTTTTAATTAGTTTTAAAAGTGCGGTAAAGTTTGTTTTTTACTTTTTAGAAAATTTAATCAATATTTTCACATATTTTAATTATTCAGTTTATTCATCTTATTTAAATAATTGGAAATCATGTATGAAATTTATACGAAATCTTATCATTTTGTTAAACACTTTGTTATTTAATAGAATTGTATTATATGTAAAATAATGTATTACCTATAAAAGATGACTCCCCATTTAGACGTTATGTTATACGGACAATTAGGAAGTACAATATGATCAATTTTTGGAAACTTTATTCCCTTAAATACCGATTTCATGTGCAACGTAAGCTTATTTATAATATACATATGTAGATCTAAAGATTTATGCCTTGTAGCTACAACTTTTTCAAATAAGCAATATTTCCACTTACACCATAAAGTCATGTTAAGTTTATCTTCTATTTTTTCTTTAAATTTCACTTTACTCATGTGGTTTATAACAATCACAAATTGATAAGTGGATATTGGTGGTGTAGGATAGAAGTGTGTCCACTGTGTATGTCCATTGTGTGTCCATTGTATGTATTCTGTTACAACATCTTTAATATGGAATTCCCTTATTGCTTCCCTAATTGGCATATTGGATAAAACATTAAAGTGTGGATTGTGCCTTACAGAAACTAGAAACGTAGTCTTTAAGTGTGGCTCATCCCAACAAGGAAATAATGTTTTAGCTCCAATATCTTGGATGTTCGGTGCGATTGACCACCTAACGCAATTTAATAATTTATATAATTGTCTTAAATAAAATTGTATTACAGTAATTATATAATGACAAATTTTTAATTATATTATGGTTTAAATTTAAATTATATTAGTATTATTATAAGTATATAATAATTAGTATAAATTTGTGCAAATAATCTGGGATGCTATTAATTAATTATGTAGGATACAGCATAAATCTTTTGATTGTTAAGCAAATAGATTGTAAAGAACAGTAAAGAATTGATTGCATTACAAGGAATATTATGCAACTATTTATATTCTCACCATATACTTACATGTCTTGCGAGTCATTACTCCAGTAATTAGTGTTTATGAAGATGTTTTTTTCACTATCGTAATTGGAAATACGACTAGTTGTACAAATTTTCAAGGTATACAACCCGGGATATATCACTTCGATAAAATCGAGGTGTAAAATATTCTTTGTAGAATCGTATATCGTTTTATTCGGAGAATGTATTGTTCTGTGGATGTCAATTAATTGTATCGACGAATGTTTTATATTTACGGTTTGTATGTGCAATTTGATACTTTTTATTGCTTGAAGAATATTGATCATTATATGAGTGGTGCCATTAAAATAAGTATCGTTAAATATTTCTGTATCGGCCATGGTTAATATTTGGACATCGGTTGGCTTAAGTGTTTTTCTTACAAAATATGCAGTTAAATTTATTTTGTAATGTATTGGGATTAAATAGGGCGCTAACTTAGATTGGAAATCATTTAGAATAAAGTTATTTAGTTCTTCACTGCAGGTAAGAATAGTTACTGTGCTGATAAATATTACAGTGATACCTATTTGTTCCAAATTCATGTTGTATTGATTTTTTCAAGTGTATCTACAAACGTTTTATTAGAAAAAGATACAATACTAATAATGATAATAGTAATAGCAGTGAATATTTCATAAATTATTAAAATTTTTATACGAGAAATTATGTTAAATTAGAATTGTTATACGTAATATTTCTATTATATTATTATAATTATTACTATTATATTTGTTACAATAGTTCTGAATTTTAAATAAATGTTTATTTCATTTTTTTAAAAATTTCACGTATCTCATATTTTGTATTTTATGACATCTCAGAACAAATGTTGCTATACTGATTATTTTTCTATTTTCTAAAATATACTATTAAAAAATGTATTAATTATTAGTTTTGGCAAGTACAGTCATTGTTTATTATGAAATACGATTTTAAAGTATTGAAATAGAATTTATTTATTGTATCAAATATGATTTAAAATAGTTTATCTTTTAAATAAATCTATATAAAATATATAAACTGTTGTGTTCTCAGATACTTACCCTGCGTTAAAATTATTTTATTAAGTTATAATTTTAATAATTTATACATTCGTAATAAAATTATTAAAAATGATATTTAAAAATATTACTAGTATACAATGTTTTTGATTTTTGTAATTTAACTCTTTTGAGAAGTTATCGCAAACTAACAGTGTCTTCGCAAATAAATCTCGTAATATAACATATGAACTGTTATGTAAACAATTTTTTATTTTACCTTTGTTAGTTAGTTGATACAATACCAATCGGGTTTCGTCGTTTCTTGTCAAATATAATATGAAGTATGGAAATGAATGTATAACATTAGTATTAAAAATTTTTAATTTTAATATATTGCAATATGTTAAAAAATAAATATCTATTTATTATTGTAAAGTATCAACATTGTATTCGTACAGCGCGCTATGTTACAAATTACTAAATTATTTAATTTTATAAGATATTTGATGGAAGAGAGATTTGCACTCTCATCGTTCTATTTGGAAATACATATATGATTTTTTTCATAGGATTATAAAAACTTGAATAATTACATCATATGAAGCTGTCAAGTTCAGATGTGTCCATTTAACGATTTCAAGTTAATTGCAGAATTGTTTAAAATGAAGTAAATTATTGTGTCATCAAAAAAATGGATAGAAACAGACACGCTTCTCTCAGCTATTTTTTATTATTTGACTAAGATGATCTTTTTATTGTTAACGTTTGACTTACAACATTGAACAGAGTAAGAAATGCTGAATCAGAATTACAACGATTCAATTATTATTTTATTAATTTAATTAATTTTCTGTAGAAGATATTTTTGTATTCTAATTACCGTTCTAATGATTTTTTAAATGTAACATTGAGAATGATCTGATCGGAGTTATATAATAATTAGTATAAATTTGTGCAAATAATCTGGGATGCTATTAATTAATTATGTAGGATACAGCATAAATCTTTTGATTGTTAAGCAAATAGATTGTAAAGAACAGTAAAGAATTGATTGCATTACAAGGAATATTATGCAACTATTTATATTCTCACCATATACTTACATGTCTTGCGAGTCATTACTCCAGTAATTAGTGTTTATGAAGATGTTTTTTTCACTATCGTAATTGGAAATACGACTAGTTGTACAAATTTTCAAGGTATACAACCCGGGATATATCACTTCGATAAAATCGAGGTGTAAAATATTCTTTGTAGAATCGTATATCGTTTTATTCGGAGAATGTATTGTTCTGTGGATGTCAATTAATTGTATCGACGAATGTTTTATATTTACGGTTTGTATGTGCAATTTGATACTTTTTATTGCTTGAAGAATATTGATCATTATATGAGTGGTGCCATTAAAATAAGTATCGTTAAATATTTCTGTATCGGCCATGGTTAATATTTGGACATCGGTTGGCTTAAGTGTTTTTCTTACAAAATATGCAGTTAAATTTATTTTGTAATGTATTGGGATTAAATAGGGCGCTAACTTAGATTGGAAATCATTTAGAATAAAGTTATTTAGTTCTTCACTGCAGGTAAGAATAGTTACTGTGCTGATAAATATTACAGTGATACCTATTTGTTCCAAATTCATGTTGTATTGATTTTTTCAAGTGTATCTACAAACGTTTTATTAGAAAAAGATACAATACTAATAATGATAATAGTAATAGCAGTGAATATTTCATAAATTATTAAAATTTTTATACGAGAAATTATGTTAAATTAGAATTGTTATACGTAATATTTCTATTATATTATTATAATTATTACTATTATATTTGTTACAATAGTTCTGAATTTTAAATAAATGTTTATTTCATTTTTTTAAAAATTTCACGTATCTCATATTTTGTATTTTATGACATCTCAGAACAAATGTTGCTATACTGATTATTTTTCTATTTTCTAAAATATACTATTAAAAAATGTATTAATTATTAGTTTTGGCAAGTACAGTCATTGTTTATTATGAAATACGATTTTAAAGTATTGAAATAGAATTTATTTATTGTATCAAATATGATTTAAAATAGTTTATCTTTTAAATAAATCTATATAAAATATATAAACTGTTGTGTTCTCAGATACTTACCCTGCGTTAAAATTATTTTATTAAGTTATAATTTTAATAATTTATACATTCGTAATAAAATTATTAAAAATGATATTTAAAAATATTACTAGTATACAATGTTTTTGATTTTTGTAATTTAACTCTTTTGAGAAGTTATCGCAAACTAACAGTGTCTTCGCAAATAAATCTCGTAATATAACATATGAACTGTTATGTAAACAATTTTTTATTTTACCTTTGTTAGTTAGTTGATACAATACCAATCGGGTTTCGTCGTTTCTTGTCAAATATAATATGAAGTATGGAAATGAATGTATAACATTAGTATTAAAAATTTTTAATTTTAATATATTGCAATATGTTAAAAAATAAATATCTATTTATTATTGTAAAGTATCAACATTGTATTCGTACAGCGCGCTATGTTACAAATTACTAAATTATTTAATTTTATAAGATATTTGATGGAAGAGAGATTTGCACTCTCATCGTTCTATTTGGAAATACATATATGATTTTTTTCATAGGATTATAAAAACTTGAATAATTACATCATATGAAGCTGTCAAGTTCAGATGTGTCCATTTAACGATTTCAAGTTAATTGCAGAATTGTTTAAAATGAAGTAAATTATTGTGTCATCAAAAAAATGGATAGAAACAGACACGCTTCTCTCAGCTATTTTTTATTATTTGACTAAGATGATCTTTTTATTGTTAACGTTTGACTTACAACATTGAACAGAGTAAGAAATGCTGAATCAGAATTACAACGATTCAATTATTATTTTATTAATTTAATTAATTTTCTGTAGAAGATATTTTTGTATTCTAATTACCGTTCTAATGATTTTTTAAATGTAACATTGAGAATGATCTGATCGGAGTCGAAACGAATGTAATATTTATTAATTAATTTATTATATTAAATTTCTTTGTTACTTTATTTACATATAATTATTATTATTTTTTAAATTTGTAATGATTTTTATTATTGGCTCTTTGCCTATATTCTATTATATTTTGTTTTATACATATAGAGCCTTATAGTCTACACTACGCAACAAAATTATCGTCGATAATTTTCGAGAATTATAACAAAATTTTTTATCGAAATTTTGTCATTTTTCAAATGCGCATAACTCGGTCAATTTTCATCGTATCAAGACAACTTTTTTCATTTTGTAGGTAATTATCTGTACTTTAAAAAAAAACTTGATACGAAATTAGTGCAAGTCGATGCCGCATCTCCATATTTTGATAAAGCCCAAGCATTTTTTTTCTTAAAAAATTTGATTGTTTAACGCTACCTGGATCGCCCCGATTTTTTTTCAAAAATACCACATAGACCATCGTAAAGTGTACATTTCAACAAACAATTTGAAAAAAATTCGAGTCTCTACGATTTTTTTTGACCGAGTAATGCCATTTTGAAGTTATTCAGGCGTTTTTAACGAATATCGCTATAGTTAATTTTTAATAATTCTTTGTAATAGATTTGCCTGATATATATATATATATATTTTGGCATTGCGTGATCTGCGCTTGACTCCTAGTGTCCTTTTCTTTCCAAGTTAATTTTTGATTTATACAGGAGTTTGTTATTTAAGAATTATCGAATAGGTATAAGATATTTTGAACAAAACATTTAAACATAATTGTGTAGTGTATAGCTGAATATATGATTTATTATGAATTATAATAAACGAAATTTTTATTATAAATCTCTTTTTAATTAATAATATTATAAATATAACACCTGTAATAATCTAATAACATTAGTAATATAAATAATGAAAAATTATAAGTTTATCTAATACAAAAATAATCGCTATACTAAGAATATTAATAAAATAGGATTTAATAATATAATTTTCATAATGTGTAGTTATTATTTTTTATTGAATGCAATTAAAAATAAGAAATATGTAGAAGTATTTAAAATTTAGATAGGTGACCGTTTTGCAATTGTATTTTTTACAGTTTACTTATTGTATTTTCGTTATCTCCGAATATTTCAAGAGAAATTATTTATTTAATTTTAAAAGTAAAAATAACTAGTATTAATTAATTTAGAAACATCCAAGAACGCTGTCTATGCATTTTAATTTCGAATGTACGCTTGTCTAACTTTTTTAGAATTTGTGATTTTAGTAAACGTGTCATTTTCCTTCCATTCACATTCAATATTAAAAATGTTTGTATCTGATCTGCAATCTTTAATATAA